GTAGGTAGGTAAGTAGGTAGGCAAGGTAGATAGATAGGTAGGTAGGTAGGTAAGGTAGGTAAGGTAGGCGAGGTAGGTAAGGTAGGTAAGGTAGGCAAGGTAGGTAAGGTAGGTAGGTTGGTGGATGGGTGGGTGGGTGGGTGGGTGGGTGGGTGGGTGGGTAGGTCGGTTGGTCGGTCGGCCGGCCGGTCGGTAGGTCGGTAGGTAGGTAGAAAGATATATAATACACAACTAACTGTATATATATAGAGAGAGAGAGACAGAAAGATGGAGGTAGGCAGGTAGGTAGGCAGGCAGGCAAGCAGGTAGGTAGGTAGGTACAGATGCAAATGCAGATGCAGAGAAAGATCTAGATGTTGATCTGGAGATAGAGATAGCTACGGAGATACCGAGGTACATAGGTAAAGATGGCTCAGCAGTACACAGCTACAGAAATACAGATACAGACGCAGATCTGGACACAGAGACAGAGACACATATAGAGAAAGGTATAGATGTCTGTCAGACAGACAGACAGGCAGAAAGACAGACAGACGGACAGCAGACAGATGTGTTAAGGCAGATGGGGAGTAAGCGGTCTCCCAAGGCTTGGGCTGAAACGCAAGCCCTGCTTGGAATGACAAAATCAACCACTCTTCTGCTGAAAGCTTTGAGAAACATGCCGTGACAGCGTAACGAAACATTCACGCTGTCGGCCTCTGTAAACGCGGCAACAAACACCCTCAAGAACCCGAGAGCGAGACGAAGGGATACCGCTCGTTCATGGTGGACAAAGTGATTTCCTGAGAGCATCAGGTTGAAGGAGTCTCTGGGGTCTGTCTCTAGGTTGCATGGTGACTCGAGCTTGAACACAGCCGCAACATCCATCACACGACCGGGCCTTCATCTGGCTGGCTTGGATCGTTTGGCCCATGGCTTCCCCGATGCGCTGCCTGGCATGAACTGCTTCCAGCATGGAAATGGGAGCTCGGCCAGAGACGTCGGGTTGACGATGTGTGGTTGTGTGTCTTCTGTGTCAGACTTGATTTGAGCCTGGTGTGTCTCTGCGTGTCGGGTTGAACAGTTTCCCCTTGGAGAGTGGCAGCATAATTCATATCGCCCCTGAAGCCAATCTCTTCCGAGTCCCTTCAACCGAACCCCAAACCCTAGACTTCGAAGGCTACTCGCTCAACCAAATCTTGATCTACGAGCCCTAGTTAACACAGGAGACAGCACCAATGTCGATCTCGAAGTCCTGGATTACGCAAAGAGACGATGACCTTGGCAGAGGGTTTCGAGGTTGTGAAGGCTGTTCCGGGTTCAGGGCTAGCAGAAGCTGCCTACTGTAGTCCAGCGGTCCTTGTCTACACTTGCATACCTATCTGTGTTGCAAACATCTGGGCCCACTAGTATACCGAAACTTCATAGCAACAACAGCAGCAACAACAACAACAACAAAACAAAACAAAAAAAAACATAAGGGTGTCAGAAAGCATTTATTTTTTTGAAGCAGTGACAATGAAAGGATCTGGTCGAATCTCGTAAGAGAACCTGAAGCGTCTCTGAATTCAATTCGTCAAGGTGGCGGCGGCTTGTGCTGGGTGCTTCGCGTAGGCTTCTATGCGGCCTCTTTATTTAGTGCAGTCTAGTTCCGCACAGTACACGGTTCACTGCTCTTGCCAAGGACTCTGGCCCGCTCAAACCATCGTTTCCTGTAGCCTGAGGTGCCCGGCAGGAACCAGCACGCGCAGTTCTGCCAGGTCCAGGGACAATGAATGTAGCACCTGGCCGACGGAGTGCAAGCTCAGGGATATCCATCTCCAATTCGACAATCAAGCCCCTCGACAGCCGACACCCTCACACAGCCCGAAATGTCTGAGACAAAAGCAAGGCTAAAGACGATGCAGGCCGAGTGAGGCGTTCCGGAAACCTGTACTGCGTTGAGGCTTCGGAGTAGTGGCACATGGCTCTAGCCGACCAGTGAATTATACGTGAACATGGCTCATGAAAGCCGCAACTGCACTGGCCACAGAGAAGGTGAGAGTGCAGAAGCACAAGAAAATAGTTCAATGGAGCTCCATTGGCTTATGCATACACAGATAGCGCCTGTCGTGGCCGCGGCTGTGTCGTGAAGACCTCTCAACCCAGACCCACAGAAAAGGGCTGGCGCTCGGCAGTGACGAGATGGAAGGGCTTCAAGAAGCCCTTGCCGACCTCCTCGAGGTACCGCATCGTCTCAGTGCATGTCCTCAGCGGAAAGCTGGTGCTGTTTCTGCTTCGGGATGTTGGGGCTTAGCATCCGTTGACAAGAGGAGCCATCCACTGAAACAAGGCTGCACGGTGAGACCAACAAGACTACACTTGAGGCTCGTCCAGGCAGGGATGGAAAGAGTTGGGCTGATCCAGCTAGTGCCGATCGCAGTGGCAGCTCTTCTACGGGTGATAATGTTTACAAGTACTTCTTACGGATCAATTCTTGGACTTTCAGCAGCCTTCAGTGATGGCCCCCGGTCTCTAGCCTTTGTGTGCACTTAGTCGCTGAGTGGTTGGCATGTTCTCGATCATCGTATCCAGCATTTATCTGCGTTGCTTGATGGAGTGTTGGTGTTGGTTGGGCCACAAGACCGAAGCAGTCTTGGACACGACGTCAGGAAGATGTCCAGCATTCGTTTCAGTGTGTGTGTGTGTATGCATATCTATCGTACACCTCTCATCATTAGGTATAATTAAGTACCACCAGCACAATCGGAAGTGTTGCTAGCAAGTGTGGATTCCTTCACCAGAATCCTCTCCCAACTGTTCAGGCCCCGCATATTGTGCGACAGTCTAGGTACTAAGGGCGCTGAACCTTTGAATGCCGGCCAGGTGGCAGCAGCTTGTGCTTCACTGCGCTGGGATCGATCTTCACCTGGAGTTCTTCTGGCTCTGTGATCTGGGTACATATGTTGGGAACTCATCCTGGTGTGCTTCTCCTTGGTGCTACTGCTATTGGCAGTGAGCCATGCCATTATGCGCATGATCTGAATCCGGAGATTCCATTGCTTCTACAGAGTTGTCTCTTCATGCCGGAAACAATCTTGTCTTGGCGAACCCACCGTAGCCCCCCGAAAAATGACAGCATCCGCATATGAAGGTTGCATCCCCAGGCTGCATTCTCGCAGGAAGGGTGGACGGAGAGACCACTGCTGGAGGTAGATTGTTCACAGCACCTACCTTTGTTCGCGCGCTGATCACGCCCCGCCAAGCACGGGAACATGCCGAGGTCCTCCACCTAAAGGCTAACTAACCGGCGGAGGAAGCCCATAGCACGGCATCCCCTCGCCTATCATATCAGCCGTGGACGACGACGACCACTACCACCACCACTGCCACTACTGCAAACGCAATCACTTCCACTACCACTACCACACCCATTTCCACTGCCGCGACCGCGACCTGGAATCTCTACCACTACCACTCCTACTCCATTCCCACTGCTACTGCTACAGCCACTGCCACTGCTATTGATTGCTACTGCTGACAAGTCGTCACCACCCACCGGTGCACCCACGAGCCAATATTCAACAGTTGATGCGAGTTTAAAGGCTTCTTGAGTCAGTGCACCAGATTTTGTGAGGACGCGGCACAACCGTGCGCTCAAAACAACAACGCCAGCACTGCGCCCTCTAGCAACAACCTACAACCTAGTGCCGATCATCTGTCGGGACTGCAAGTCAACAGGCCAAACCCGACCTGTTGCTGTGAACCCGAAGCCCCTGTGTCCCAATTAGACGCCTTAACGCTTGCCTCCGCCAGGTTTGGAAAAGAAAAGGAGCCGTTTCGCAGCTCCCAAAGGCGGGACGGATGACTCCAGGAGGCTGATCTCTAAATGCCTTGAGTTTTGTGGGCCTGGGTTGTGGAGTCTCGGGTTGAAGGTGAGTGGCCTCCCACAGAAGTTGGCACTTAGGGTGCAGGCTGCAGCTCAGCTACGACAGACCCCGAAACGCTACAGTCGGCGCGACACCCTAAACTCCACACCGGAAACACTGGAGCATAAACGATTGAACGAGTGATTGAAAAATAGCATTTGTGTTTGTTGAGTGCGTCAATGGTGCTCGAAGATTCTGCAGAGGTGACAGTCGAACACAACTACTTGCGTTCTTGCCCGCTTACATAGGAGTCTTGACAGAAGATGACTACCTTTCAGTGGCTGCACCATCGATTGGAGCGATGGGCCCAGCAGGAGCTCTCCATCATCCGGTCTGCCGCTGTGCCGACGGGGATCGCTCTAAGTTCGGACCCCCTTTGGGGGCCCGATGCTTTCCTTATCCCCTTCAACCACCAGACCCTACCACTGCATACTGCGACACCGCGCAGAGCAACCCCGTGGTTCCTAGCCATCTCAGATCCGCGAGGACGGACTGCGCTCTTCCGCCGTGAGATCCCGCACAGTTCGCGTCTGGCGTCAGGTGGACAAGGACCGTGGGAGGAGCTGATCCCCCACATTTCAACTGCAAACTCGGATCTTTTCTGAAATGTCCATGCCGACCAAGAACATGTCGACATTGGCACGCTCAGTAAACAGATGATGCACCCAAACTCTGCACGTGTCGGATGACGCCCAGTAACTGAAAGCTGAAACCCCGGAGATGGTGACCATCTTTGATGCGAGATCCACTCGAAACCTGAAACTCCCTGCCGTGGGCCTAGCCTGATCCATGCGTTGCTGTTCCATCCTGTGGGCTTTCAAGATGGTGGCTTCGCTTGAGGATGGAAGGGCTTTGTCAACTGTTTCAGCAAATCTTAGACGTTCTTGGAAGCTTGAACTCAAAACCAAGTTATATTAGCAGGAAGCATGGTGCACGCTAGTCCTCTGCACAAACTGGTCGCGCTGCGCCCGCAAAGCCGCCTGCTGTCCCGTTGCCGTGGCTTGGGGTGGCACGATCTCCTGCCGGAAACAATTGCTCCCGATACAATCGGGCAGTAGACTGGATGCCCAAAAAGGACCCTCGAGGAACGCCCGGTGGCCACGCAGACATGCAATCCGAAACATCCTGCTCCTCGACGGTGCTGCGTGAGCCGACGAAGTCGAAGCAAGGACAGCCTTTGATTTCTGTGCTCGAGGGTCAGGGTTGAGGTTGCGCAGGGCAGGACTGCAACTGTCTGAAGACAGATCATTGTCAGTAACACAAGCATTATCATTATCCGTCACTGTTCTGTCGCTGCTGCTACTGCCCAGCTCCTGCCACTGCTACTGCTCCTCTCCTCTCCCTCCTCCTGCAGCGATTAGCACTACAAGCACTACTGCGAAGGTTGCTACTGCTACTGCCACCAAATCTTCGACTTCTGATTCTACTTCTACTTCTACTACCACGACAAGGACTACGACAACAACCCGGGCTGCGACGATGTCGACTACTACCCCCCCCCAACAACCAACTACATTTGCCAAATCAGGGCTGAGAAGTGTCAGCTTCTAGGCTCCCTAACTGTCACAGCCCACAGCGGCTGAAATTACACAGGCTCAGGCTCGAAGCCTGAACCAGAGGTGGTAGGATAGCATGAAAGCGACGTGAATACCGTGCAAAACGCAGGTGCTGCTAAGCAGCTTTCTAACCAACCCTGAAACTTCAAGTCGAAAAGACACACTTCTAACTCGCACTCCTCCTGCTCCTAACTCCTGCTCCCGGTGATACTCTAGTCGTCGTCGTCGTCGTAGTAGTAGTAGTAGTAGTAGTAGTTGTTGTTGTTGTTGTTGCTGTTGTTGTTGTTGTTGCTGCTGCTGTTGTTGTTGCTGCTGTTGTTGTTGGCGGTGGTGGTGGTGGTGGTGGCGGCGGCGGCGGTGGTCGTCGTCGTCGTCGTCGTAGTAGTAGTAGTAGTAGTAGTAGTTTTAAGTTTTAGTTTAGTAGTAGACACCTGCTACTGCTGCGACTGCTGCTGCTGCTGCTGCAGCTGCAGCTGCTGCACCTGCTGATGCTACTACAGCTGTCGCTGCTGCTACAGCTGCTACTGCTGCCACTGCTGCTGCCACAGCAACTAAACGACAACTACAACCACAACCACTGCCGCTACTAATTACTACGACGACGACAACTGCGACTATGACGACGAGAGAACCGACCACATAACAGAGAAGCCCTTTCGGCTCCTGTAGTATGTGGAGCACAAGAAGGAAGTTCTGCTTGTGATGCTTTGCAGTGCGAGTGGTGCACAGAAACCGGACTCACGAAAATGTTAGTTGCAAAATTTGTGGGAGTGATAGCATTGTGAGATTGAGGGTGTTCGCAGAGTTTCTTCTTGGTGTTCAGGATACTCGAACTTTCGGGAATTATGCCGTCAAGCTTGTAAGCTACAAGGCCCCCGAGCTTCCAAAAAAAAAGAGTACTTACTATTGCAGACCCTCAAGGACAAGCATTTCATAACCCCACCGGGCCGAGGGACAAATGCATCTGCTGCGTGAACTTGGCTCGACCAGCCGTTGCTCGGTGGGCTCTGAGCGTCCTGGGGTGCTCTCTTTTTTCGCCCTGCAAAAAACCCTAAACCTGAAACCCTAAANNNCCCTAAACACCCTAAACCCTATAGACTGGCCCTAAATGGCCCCAAACTTCCCTCAACGTTGCCAGAGGAGAGCGCTGCCGAGCTCTAAACAAAGGGCTGGGAATCCCTACCAAAAAGGACCTCCCTTCGCAGGCCTTTTCCAGTACAGGTGACCCGAGGTCTCTCGCGGGTTTGAAATAACATCGAGGGGGGGGGGGGGGGGGGGGNNGTCTCGATTGTGCTCTTCGGGGAATTTCCATGGTTTAGCTTTGGAGGTTGAAATCTTGGCAAGAGCCTGTGGTGGGTGTTTCTGTGCTGTGAAAGCCTGCTCGCGGCAGGGCACTCAAGCTCCAGATGTGTTCGACCCAGATGGCTCTCAGATAAATGGAATGGCCAATGGCCAAAAAAAGTGCTGCTTTAGGTCGGGAGCCAGGCGGCGAAACAAGCTGCAAAAGTTCCTCCAACCACCACTTGTCAGAGGTGCCTCGTCATCAAAGTCCTTGATTTCACGGCTCGGTTTTGAGTGCAGGATTTCGAGGCTTGTACTAGGTCATAGGAACCTTTTCCGAAACGAACTCGTAAGTGCCACATCTCTGGCCTCAAGCTCCAAGCTCATAAACTCATGGCTGCCACGAGCCATCACACATCATGACGGTGATGGTGAGTGAGATGACGACGATGATGTTGAGGAAACTGATGGTGGTGAAGGACGAAACTGACGAATGTGATGACGGGGCTGCTGGTGCGTGTGTGTGTGTGTGTGTGCGTGTCAATAAGGTTGCAGATGTTCCCTGGAGTACTGCGACTAGGCAGTTCTTCGCCGGCAACTCAACATCCAGAGCCGGGGAACGGAATGGTTAATCCGATGAACCACGCCGAATGCATCGCGCTCCGTGCGCCGCCAGGACTTGGCGACCTCGTAGTACAAAAACTGTTGGTGAGTCGTTGCTGGGTTTAAAGTTTAAGTTTACTGTTGCGACACAGCGGGTCTTGAGGGCGTTGGGTCTTGAGGACCTGCTCAAAGTTGAGGCTGCCGAGTTCGGTTTTGGGAGTCGGGTCATGGCAGAGGTCGGAGGACGGGATACCGCGCCCGGCTTGAGGAATAGTCGCCGTCCTCGTGATTGACAGCATGTGGCGCCGTAGCTGCTTTTGCTACGCTCTCCGACCTTCATTGCTAGAACGCAGCTGTCCTGTGAACAACAACTTTTGCTTGCAGCACAGTTCTTCGTATGCAGTGATGATGTTGCTCGAACCTCAACTTCAGCTCCTCAGCGTGGGGAGAAGCCCTCGATCAACGCGAAAACGAGAAGTGCATCTCGAAGACAGGATGCGATGACTTTCCTACTGCTGGTCTCTTGGCTTTTAGGCCGTGATCATGATTCCCATGCCGCTGCCGCTGCCGCCGGCTTCGCATGCCGGCTCTCCGCTCTTTCTGTTGCTGTTCCTCTGATGTTCCCACCGCTGCCTCGAAGAGCGGGTGGGTGTGGAGCTGGCGCGCCTGGCTGGGTATACGTTGAAACACGGGGCCCTTGCACGTCTACGCGCCTCTTCTCGACGGCTCGGAGCGGGGCTCGCGTCAAAAGCACATCGGAGCAAGAGAAACTTGAGAACCTCTGCACCTCCTGGAACAAGCAACTGCTGCAGCGCTTGCACGCACGATTGAGGCTGCACCCATAAACCTACCTGAACTCACAAAAACGTTCTCTAGCAGTCCGAGGATGGGCCTTGCGCAGCTTGTAGATGTTCCGAGCCTGTCGTCCGGATTCAAATGTGGGTGAACCGTCGAGCACCTTCAAGCCTCTCGCCCACAACATTCCTCTGATGCTCAGCACATGCATCATGCCTGACAAAGCTATGAATGTCTTTGCAACAACCTAGCACTGCCGTGCAGCCTCCATCAGACTCATCACACCCATCCAGCCCATCAAGCTACCCATGAGCCTTGGTCAGCAGAACAATCTCGGTTACTGACAACATTGAGTCTTTCCAGGCAGGAGTAGTTGGTCTATTCGCCGATCAATCGGGCCGTGTCATTGAGCCGCTGCAGCACTGAGGCCCCAGCCCACGCACGCCCGCCTCAAACAGAGCGTAGACGGTGTAGCCCTCAGGTCCGGCAATTGAACTTCCAGAGATTGGGCTTTGGGACTTCTTTGTTGTGAGTTCCTAAGACCTTAAAGGCTGGTCGTCGGTGCAGGCAGTATGGGTGCTTGGGCTCCTGTCCATGCTGGCAGCTGCTGCCGGACCGACAAGGGTCCCGTTGCACCGAAAGCTAGCGATGCTAGCACAAAGACTGACTTACTAGGAGTACTGGTTATGCCTCTCACAAGAACCATTAACAGAGCATCATGCATGGCACCTGTTGGGCCGACTACCATGCCCTGCTAGAAGCAGTTGGGGTACATTGCGGGATCCCTCTCGATGTTTAGTGAAGTTTAGTGCATTTTCGTGACGACCTTCACTCCTGGCCCTCGTCCTTGCAGCCATCGGGATTCTTAGAGGTGTGTTCGAAAGTAGTCTCCCTCTTGGGGCGCAAGTTCCGTTCTTCCCGAAAGGGCAGCTCTGGCCCCGCTCTTCGGGAGAGGCCGCCGGGCCACGATCATGGCGAGGGCGCAGGGAACGGAGGTGCAGATCAGGACCATGGCCGCCTCTCCAAAGGGCACACAGAGGCAACAAAGGGCGCGGCGCTCCAAAAAAGGGGAAGGCTCCGGCTCTCCCGGCTCTCCCGTCTCCCGCCTTCCGCGCGGGGACGCCGCAGAAGAACATGAGGCTCGTCACCTCGGCTGGGGCTTCTCGTCCAAAGGAGAGCGAGTTGTCGCATCCACCAAGCGTACACGCTGAACTTGCTTCAGGCAAACCGAATATGTCCTAACCGAGCGTCTTTACAACATCAAAGAGCCTTTCCCATCCCGCAGATGCCCAATCAACAACAAGCACAGAGAACCCAGTCGTGGTGCTCACTTGGCCGGATTCCAATGAATTCATGTCCGGGGCACCAGAAGCTTCGCGCCGTCGGCGGGGTACATGGGAAAGAAGACATTGAAGAGGAACAGAGCCTTGGTCATGTACCGACCAAGGCCTTCGCCGGACTCTGAATGCTGCACATTGATAGGGAGTAGATCTCCTCAACGTACAGGAACCTTCTTCAAGCTTGATTCCCGAACTCCCTAAGGCACCGATTGTCCCAGTGGCGACGTTGAGGGAGATGGCATTTGCGACGACACTCCACAGCAATGCCATCCACTGGTTGATGGTGTATTCTACCCAGAACCAGGATGCGCCACCTCTCACAAGACTGTCAGGCGTCTGTGGAATCGATGGGCTTTCGGAGACTGCGTTAGGTTATGCTTCTAGAATTAGTTGAGGTGGCAGCCCATCCCTGAGCCAAAGCCCAGCCTCCAAGTGGATTCAGAGAGTCGGTGAACGCAGCCCAGGCAGAGGGATAGCCCGTTGAGCCGCCCTTCGGCTTCCGCTCGGATGCTTCAGGACGTAAGGAGCTTTAACAGGCGGCCTGTGGCTAGGAGTCAGGGGTTTCGAGTTTATGGTGTTGTGGCAGGACCCCCTGGGGTCTTTACGAAGATCCTATGATCCGCAAACAAACCAGGAAAACTACACAAATGCACTTCTTCCTCATCCCATGTGACATGAACCGCGTAGTTTCCACCAGGCTACTACCCCCCGCAAGTGCCGCAGCCAGACCTTCGGCGATTCCCCCAGAATCGACCCAAATTGACCCCTGAGCTCCGAAGATCTTGTAGTGACTTCAGGGAACGCAACACTTCCGCCGGACCCTACATACTCCTACATCCTAAGCCCAAATCCTGGAGGTCTATCGGAAGGTTGGTGGTGTAGCCTAGTCTCCATTCTGTGCCTCCGGCGAGACAAGCCCTGCACCCGAAACCCTGCAAAACCCACAGTAAAAACGCACTGTCAACACACCTCCAAAAGTCCCATGGAAAATCCACGAGGCCTGTGCTTCGATCCAAAGGTAGAGGAGCCAGAGCACCAGGCCCCAAAGAGGCGCTTGGACGAAGTGCGTGGAGGGGCCTGCGCGTGGTTTCCGAGGGGGGAGGGGCCGGGGAGGGGAGGCCGTCAGCAAATGCCACATCCTCCCTGCGCAGCCTGCGGCAACCACCATCAAGTCGTTTTTCAGGAGAATCTGCCACAGGACAGCGATGACGGATGTTACCGACAAACGAGATCGAACCAGCATGCAAACAACACCAGCACCGCATGCAAGGCACTGCCCCTGAATCCACACCCTGGGAAACCTGCTCTCCGACAGCTCTTAAGCACACACCATGACTTCCTTTCAAGGCTTCGGGACTGTCGTCTCGTCAAGCTGCTGTGTTGTCTGCTGAGTCATTGCCTGGGCTTGCCGGCAAGTTCTCTGGGGCGACCCTTGCAGGGCTGTGAGGTGCTAGACAGGCCGCAACTGAATGAACATACCAAGCTAAGGTTTCCTACCACGGACTCAAATTGCACCTAGCAGTCCAAGATATTCGAAGCCTCTAAGCCCTAGGCTCCCAAGACAACCCCATGCTTCCAAAATGTGTAGCACTGGGAGCAGGTGACTCGGAGAGATCTGAACGACAAAAGGAGCGCCGGACATTCCGCCCACTCCACAGATGCACTCTGGCAGGAAAGCAAGTCACCATGCTTGGAAACACCACAGCATTTCTGTTTTGTATGCGTCCCCGGCATCCGAGGCACGCCTGCACGTCTAATCGATTTACGATGACGTTAATATCTCCGCGGTGCTAACACGGGAACTAGAATGCGCATAAGCCTGACATGATGCAAAAGGACGTCTGACAGCACCTCAGCCATCTGCCCGAGTTCTATGGATTTGTAGTGTGAAGCGCAGCAGCAGCACCACTTCAGAATCCACGTGCTGTGCCCAACACGACCACCACCACCACCAACACCAGCATCACGACCGCTCGTGCTGCTGCTGCACCACGACGACGCCGCCGACGATACCAAAATATTGGAAAGTGCTGGACCAACAAGCCAAGACTATCGCCTTTACTACCAGTTACCTTATATACAATAACCAATAATCTTCATCTCAACAGTCACCTTTGCTTTCAGCTTCCTCTCGCCCTTCGCTGGCCTGCTGGAAGAACTGCTATCTTCATACTCGTGTTGAATAGCACCATCGGGGTAATCACCAGCGGGAGTACCCTGCCAAGCACCTTCACTATCTCCAGCATAACAGAATCATCGGCTTGAGCAGCAGCGACCGAACAAACACCATCTTCATCATAATTTTTTCTTCATGATGGCCATGTTACTCAGCAGCAGCAGCAGCAGCAGCAGCAGCAGCAGCAGCAGCAGCAGCTGCGGCAGCAGTAAGCAGCAGCTGGTACAGCAGCAGCAGTAGCAGTAGCAGGTTCTTCGTCATCATCACCGCCGCCATCATCACCCGCACACTATCACTGCGGGTAGATGCCGTTCTCGTCATCATGAATACACCGACATCATCCTCATCGCCACCATGAATATACTCGCATCGGATGGAGGATCTGTGTTTCATTTTGTGTTCGTGTCGAGTGTGTGAGCGCAGCCAGGTCACGTGGTCGGGTGTGGAAACAAATTCCACCGAAAACCCAAAGCAAGATGTGGCCTGGGCTGGCAGCAGGCTTGAAAGTCACAGCAAACCCATTGCAAGACTAGTTCACTAAGCTTTGCTGCAGGGGTCATAGATGCCAAACACGAGCGCATAGGAGAATGAAGAGAGCTCAGCGGCTAATCTCGCCACCCAGATATCTCGCCATATTGCCGTGCCCAAACTCATGGCCTTGGCAGAGGCAGGCACCGTCATGATCTGCGGACAATCTTGTGCAAGCTGGCATTCCCGGCCCAAGACCCTAGATGACGATGGGAGGGGGCGGGGGGTGCTCATCTGTCTCTCTGTGCCCTTGTTTGGAGTTCTGTTGATGCTACAGCTAGTCTGTATGTGGTGACCTTTCTTGTTGGTTGTCGTCTGGGCAGTGGTCTTCACAGCGGTGACCTACTGTTTCTGGCAACTGTCGGTGTTAAGGCTGCTGCGGACTTTCCGAACTTCCCGAGCACCGGACACAGGATTGTGAGCAGCAGCACGCACTCGTTTGCCACAGCACGGAGTACCTCAGAAGCGACGCGGAGACACGGAAGCCAGGATTAAGGCCCCTCAACCCGCAGCCTTTAGAAGCCTAGGATTCAGGAACCTCTAGTAACTTCGAGTTCACAAGTTCGCGGGCGATATTGGTTGTGCTGCCCCCGTTCTATGCCTTGGCCCCGAACTTGTTTGCCAAAGGAGCTTATGAGGGGTGCGGATGGTAGCATTATCTATAGCACATCTTTCAAGCTTGGGCCTGCTGCCCGAAAGCAGCAACTTCCAAAGCTAATGGCCCTTGCTGGCTTCGTGCAAGAAGCACTCCAGAGGAGTTCGATGTCTGTGCCGCCCCTCCGGCCAATGTTGATCAAGTCGTACCTGGGCCGTAGACACTGCAAAACAATCCAGGACCTAGGAGCTCTAAATCACGGAGCATTCGCTCAACTCAAATGGGAGGTAGCCAGTCTCTTCGGAAATAAGTGAGTGGGACTTCCAAACAAAGCGCGCAAGGCATAACGCTGACTGTCGTGCAGTTGTCGTCTACATTTCTGCTTCGGGTCTTGGGCCGGTCAAGCATGTTCGTTGCAACTTGCCGCTGTGAAGGGCATCACGTGCCACGAGCATGCGCGGCCAAGCCTCGAGACTTCACATCCCAAATCCTCACCCCACCGGCCCACAACACCAACCCCAAGTGCTGGACGTTCCAAAACCTGAACCTAGCAGTCCTCGTCTGCGGCAACTTGGTGCCAGGCATGAAAAAGAACAACACCTCAACTCGCATTCCAACCATCGGGACTTGAATTTGAGTGCACGGTGCCCCTACCCCCGCCCTTGTGCCTGACCCTTTCTCTTGTTAACTGCTCACACACATCGAGATGAGATGGCTCCAGATAGGCTTGATACGAAGCTCCCGCATCTTGATTCGATCATGTGGGAATTTTCAAGAGGAGTCGGACACTTGGACTTGGCAGACTGTCGCGCAGACTGAACCCACAACCCCGAGGCCTAGGCCCAGGCATGGCGAGAGGGCTCTCGCAAAGACCGACACCCCAAAGCTAGGGGGCCACGGTACCCTGTCTGAGTCTTGCTAGTATCGCACCTCGGCATTTACGACCACCACAAGTTGCGACAACCGACCAACACCGCCAACACCACCCCCACCGCCACCGCCACCGCCACCACCATCACCACCATACTGCGACCATGACGACGACGACGAAACTGGAACTGCTCCTCCTTGGGCGGCTGTCAGGATTGTTTGGCTGCGCTGATGACCGTTAGAACTGAAAGCTGGCTCCCCACACATCCGCAGCTCAGGGCCGGACGAAGTAGGAGAGCTTGATCGGAGCACGGCAGATCGTGCAGACGTGTATGGAGCAGTCCTGCCAGTCTTCGAGGCTGCAGCACAAGACCCGCCTCGGGTCGGCTCTCCCTTAGGCCCCCAGGGCTCCTGGGAGCTCGCTTGGCCCTGGCTCCCGAAGCCCATGCTTCGCATCATGGTCCCGGTCCAGTGCCGCACGCAGAAAAGGGGTCGTAAACGGATGGGCTCAAGGCACAATGGGCGATGGGCGCACTTGAGCGCGCTTCGCACACAGAGGGCTGTCGACTGTTTTGCGCCTACGAGGCAGACTTTGGCTTCATCTCTGCAGCTAGGTGAAGATGCTCCTGCAACGGCGACATTTTACGAGGATGGTGTTTGGTAGGGTCGCCTGCTGGGTGCTTCAGTTGTGAGCTGGAGGCTGTTGGCTTGAGCCGGCAGAAATAAGACAAAGAGATTGGTTTTCCAGACTCCTTTCTCTCGTTTAAAAGTTATGCATGGAGTCAGTCTTCCAACATTACCCTACAACCCGCATAAACACTCCAATCCGAAAGTGTTCGCAGCCCGTTCGCCCTCGAGCAAGCAGAATGAGAAAGTTCGGGTCTGCTGCTGGCTACCACTGTGTTGCTGTCGGCCTGCAGATAGCCGCCACGTGCTCTGGTCACTGAAGGACTGGTGACTTTGAAACAACCATTGCTAGAGCTTCTGGCAGTCGTGCTAAGATCGCCCACCTTCACTCTAGCTACAAATTAAGGTCCGAAACTTGGCTTCCAACTCACTTCTAGGGCCTAGGGTATGCGAACTACACGATGAAGGAACACTACTCCCAGACTCTACTGTGTTCAGACCGAGGGTTCCCGGGCGTCTTTTGCCATCACAGCGTCCTTCCGCCACGCAACAAGCCCGAAGTTGCAAATCAGACATGCTGAACCTTCTACCGGGAACTCTCAACCTTCAGGAGGAACTGGGCGCGGGACGAAATAGTCGAAGAGGATGTTTTCCTTCCAATGCGTCCACTCCTTCGACACTTGAATTCCGACACAGGCGTTGAAATTTGGAATGAGAAATTAGGGGCCGAGAATACAAGGTGTCGTGCTTTTGGAGCTTAGGGCTTTGGGGTTCAGGGGATGCACAGTTCAGACGGGAGAGCCAACTGCAACATCCGTTCGTGCAAGCTCTGTTGCAATTATTGATTGACTCGCCGTACGACAAACACAATGACTACGACCGCTGCCGCTGAGAACGCCTTCCACCGCCGGCGGCAGAGAAGCTTGGGGTCTGGCATGGGCCAGGTACCAGAGGTCCAGGAGAGGTGCAAGCTGCTCGGCCTAGGCTCCGTCCAAGGAAGGCCGATGTCAAGACGGCAGCAAAAGAACTGCTCGCTACCCAGCTTTCCAAGCGGCCTTGGCTGTTCTGGGTTTTTGGAGTGGAGCCGGAGAGGTGGAATTGCGGGTGAACAAACAACCGATTGTGGAACCCTGCATCCACCAAAACCAGGGTCGATGATGCGGTTCGTCCTCTTTTGATTGTAGCTTTCTGTAGTCAGTAGTTGCTGTATTTCTTGACAGTAATTATCATTACCAAGGTGACACCCCCGAGCCGACAAAACAAGTCTTTGCGTGGGGTCTCAGGGTTTCAAGACCAGCAGGAGCAAGGCCCTACAAACCAAATGCACTCACAGATCCCACACCCTCCGAGCCCTCGACCCTGAAACTCAGACCCAGCCCTCAGCCCGGCCCCTGGCCGTGGCTGCCAAGCCCGGAAAATCGGAGAGTGGCATCCTTGTGTGGGTCGGCGGGGTCTTTGGCACTGCTCGCGTCGTGGATTGGTGACGAGGGAGGCTTTAGTGGCCCTTGGGGGCAAATCGGTTTGGGCACTGGGCCTTCAGCTGATTGGGTGGGCCTCGACAAGACTGACTGCCAAACGGGAACCGGTACTACCACGTGGACAATGATGTTCATGACTTTGGCTCTGACGTTTCAGCTTTGGCCGGAATTGCTCCAACCATCTCCAACCCCCTCAAGGGCTTTGGCTGCACGGTCCAAACTTAACTTTGCCAGCCTTAACTTGGGAAATGTGGGTGCTATGTGGCATCCCATCTCACGTCCATCTTTGAAATATTGGTGCGAGATCAAGCAGAACCAGGTATGTGAAACAAGTATGCGAGCATGTGTGGTTGCTCTAGCTCTCATCACGCCCATGCAAAGACTACAAGCAGCTGGAACATGGAATCCCCCTACACCTGTATGCAGTAAAGCCAGAGCAACGGCTATTGGGCCAAGGGACTCCATCATTTCTTCATGCACGTGCTGCTTCTTCACCTCGACGCGAAGTTGAACATTCGTCCACACGGTGATCCAGAAACCCCTGAAACTGAGCACCAACATGAATGTCTTAAAACACTAATGCTCCACCCCAAAGGCTGCATCGAAAGTCGATCGCATTATCCTCAGCGAGTTTGTCTTGATCTGGAAACGTTGGATGGCATGTTTCGGGGTGCCGAATCATCAAAAACAGGATTGCCTGAACAGGCTTCTAGCGCTAGCCAAGCTCGACTCTCCATCCTGATCCCAACAAACGCGCCTGCTCCTGCAACTTGCAGACTCGCTCTTGCAGTTTCTTCATCTTCGTGTAGTAAAGACTCAGCAGGGGCTCCCGTAGAAGGAGGATGTATCAGCTTGCTTTGGATGCTCGGGTGGGGGTTGTAGACTGTGGGTCTGCAGAGGATTGGAGTCGGCCTTCCTGGTATGGACTCTAGGCTCCGGCTGCTTCGGGGCTTGAGTTGTTTCAACACTCTTTCGGATCGCTCAGATCTAACCACAGACTGCTTTAGCCGATTTGTCGTGAATGTCATCCCCACATCGAGGAGATGCATTGCTGTCGATGCGATCTGCTGTTCCCTGTTGGCCACCACTGCAACCTTGCCTTGTGGCTTGGGACGAAATGCTGAGGCTGCCACTCTGCTCTGTTGAGTGAGACCTGACCGGACAGCCGTAAGGCAGTGGACTTTCCATTACTGGGAAGTTCTGCTCTGATGGAGACAATGCGTAGCAGAAAATTGAACCAATAACAGCGTCGACTTCGAAAGCAGTGCTGAAGGAAGCCCGCGTGAGGACCTCAAACAAGTCTGCAGTCAGTGCACCACCCCCAACCACTACTGTACCTGCTGAGTCCCCCATCACCCCCTGAAGCTTCAGTACATCATGCGTTGCTGTTCGCTCCGCGGGTCCATGACCAAGGACCGCCAGGTACATTATCTCAGATCGAATGTCCGACGGAAAACAAATGTACTGGGATCCCTACTGGGCCCATCCGAACAGGGGGACATGTACTTCGAATCCCCAGACATCGATGTAACACCCTCCTCCATAGCATGTATCGCGACATGACATGGGTCCCTCTTCTATATGCACCGCCTTCGCAAGTCCGAGCAAACAGAAGGCACCAGGAGCCAGGGAACAGCAGGGCGGAAAGCCAAGTCTCAGGAGACTTGAGTTGGGAGTTTGAACTTCGCGGAGTGCGCCGGAGTTTGGGCGTTGTGCTGTCGAAAGCGTCTCAAAACAAGGGCTCCCTTGACGGCGACCCTGCGAATTGGTGTTCTTCTCACCCTGGTACCGGAGCAGGCAAGGACGCAAGGAAACTATCACCACAAGAGGACATACAGTGACTCCAGCAAGCATCCATTCAAAATTCAAGTCCTATCCGAAAACCAACTTCCGTAATGATCTCTGCCTTGCAGGCATACTCCTCCAGCACCAGACGGCATTCTTCCACCTGTGCCTGAGCCCAAGAAAAGCTCCCAGGTCGATGGCTGCGAAGGCTTTTGTCGGAATGTCGGGTTGTGGGGGCGACGTGGGCGGAGCTCTTTCGCAGCTCTTTCTCTGTTTCTCTCCGAGCTGGAGTGCAAGGCCGCTCTCTTAAGGCTTCAACAACACAGGCACACTCTCATCAAATGACATCCACGCACAACGAACGAAACTTCCAGCAGCTACCAGAGCAGAAGTGCTGCTAGTACTGCCTGGAAGACTCTGAACTCTGCTGGGGCCACGGCGGCTAGGAATTTGGCCTTCTCCGCAATTTTCATGTTGAACTTGCCACGCAGGTCCTCTGGTGTTTGCATAGGGCCATGGGGCATAGGATGCGAGGCTTCTGGACATCCGGATTGTTGTAGGATTTGGAGTCGCGGATCAATTCAAAATTCCAAAGTTCACTAAGCTTTGCAGCTTGGGGTGACTGTGTTCTAGAGACTTGAGATCTTCGTTCCTGCCTTGCGGAAGGTATTTTGCCACCGCTCTGCCCGATCTCTGAGATCAGGAACCGCATGGATGCACTCATACCTGCGCATGCAGGCTGAGCGACGGTTCTTGCGCAGTAGACACCAAACTTCAATCTGCAGTGGCCTATACTGGCGTCTCCCGACAGACGGAGCTGCTCCCCGGGGCCCTCACCAGCGCTTGATGAGCGGTCGTGGGACCTCCGCAACAGGAAAGCAGGGAAGACGAGGCTTGCAGGGAGGTCCCCAAACGGCGCCTGATGACTGCGGCTCTCAAGCACGTCAAACATCTGGCGGATTGATCCCTCGGCGCGATGATCGCTCGGTCGGAAAGGTTCGTAAGCTTACAGGATTACAGGACCATATTAATATGGGCTAAGAGGGTTTGCTTCGCGTCACATGCCTTGATGGTCTGTCAGGGCATGAGGGCTGAAACAAGGAACACCCCGACAGTCTAAAGGAGTCAGAGGACCCTGCGCCCCAGACCTTAATGACCTCGACTAAGTCTCGATATGGCTACAAGCGGCTCTTCAACTTTCAATTGGCCGGAAGTGCCGTTGATGCAAAGGTATCTCACACGGGCATACGAAAGGCAGATAAACACGAAACGAGGATACCAAGCAAAACAACTGCGAGCACTGAGTCTGGTACACCAGAAGAACTACGACAGGCCGGTGTGACAAGCATGGTCTTACTCATCATCTCCTGCAGTACGGGAACCGGATGTGCACGTGCTGCCTCTCTTCGGCCCGCTATGTCTAAGGGAATCTTTTCTTTGAGGTCTTGGGTTAGAGCTGAAGCGCTCAGCCTAACGAACCTCCGTGGCATACAAGCTACACGCTTGACCCGGCCGAAGAGCCAGAACGGGCTCCATCTCGGCGAGGAAAGGGCCCAGGCTCTTGACAGCCTGCTCCAACTGCAAGGTAGAGTCCCCCTCGCTGTTCTCTCATGCTGCACGCTACATCTTTGCTGTCCGGAGAATGGCAAGGGCACCTACGACCCATTCCTCCTACTCCAACGACTACGACGAGGACTACCGCACCACTGCGTCCCTACCACTACTTCATCTCATGACTAACACTTGATGTGCACCTCGATGGTGCTGTGCAGCTCATCCGGCTGCTTCGGGGCCATGACAATCTCCGTGCTTTTGGACTGCAAAGATCCGGAGGCTTTTTGGGCTTTGCAGGGTGTGTGCGGTTCGGGTTTAAGATGTACGGTTCGCACTTCAGGGCTTGGGGCTGAGCGCATTAGAGTTGTTTTTTCGGGGCCTGTAAACCATGAGTTTCAGCTTCGAGAAGTGCTGAACTTTGGTTGAGGCTTAGGATATGTTCTTTTCGAGCTGTACCTTTGCGGTAGCCTCGAATGTATTCCGTTAAACCTCTCAGTTTGTTCTGATGTTTTAGGTTGCTGTTGGAGCTTTCTGTGCTTTGTCCCGAAGTCTGGGAGGCTCTCCACAGGTCCTTCTCATTGAAACAGGTCAAACATATCGAGAATCCTAAACCCTACAACCGAACCGTGATCCCTCATGGTTGCGAGAATCCTTACCCATGATTTTGTAGCCGCTGAAACGACATCTTTGCCCCACACCCCAGCTAAAGCAACGAACCACATGACAAAGGACCTACTTACAAACCTTCCACGTACAACTCCAGAATCACCCTAAGAAACCTAGCAAGCAGAGCATCCTTTGGCACCGCCTGCAGGGACAGCTTCAGCCGGGCCTCAGAAACTGAAAGCGAGAGGGGCACCTGCAGGGTTCAGGGTCCAGCACCCCACTGTAGAGTTCCGGGTTGAGGTAGAAGAATGAGCCTCTCATGGAGATTCCTCAACATGCAAAGCGACCAGTCAAATCCAAAGATGCACTTGTCGATTCAGGGACACCACAGTTAAGTTTGAGAGCTGCGGGCTGAACGATGAATGCTCCGGCTTCTATATATTTGGGGCGGGGACCTTGCGGCTTGTGCCCGAAGGAACTTGGCTGCCAGACGGGTGTGGGTAAGATTTGCGCAAGTGGTTTTTGCCAAGGCGTACAACCGTTGCCGTGGCAGGTTGCTCCACTACCCTTGTCTCTTTACGCTTACAAAAACACATAAATAGATCTGTACTCATTTTATTAGTCATTCTTGCCTTCCGTGGTTTCTGCGAATATTCGACTGCAAGTTCGCTTCAAAGCATGCTGCAACCGCTCTACGCTGCTCTTTCTAGCACGCTACCGAGAGCCGCATGGCTTCGTAAGTCAGCTGTACAATTGACGAAAGCTTCAGATGCAAATGTCGCAGCCATGCATGACAGGTCAGGCAGAATGCGAAACATTAACACCGGTCATACTATATCTCTGACCTGTTCGTTCTGCATGCTGTGGCTTGCCTTTCTTAGCAGCCTTTTCGTGGAAAAGCAAGCCATCCTGAAGTTGATCTCGAATATCCGAACCGCGAGCCCCTTTAGTCAAGCCGTCAGCAACTTGACACCTAGTTGGAACCCACATCAACTTGGCTTTGCCTGCCTCTCCACGCGTGCTCAAGAGCTGCCGTAACAAGACGGCGTGCACAATGTTCCCCTTCTCACCAACATGTTGCCCATCTTTATGCACCGTATCATAAATGCTCTTGCAGTCAGTGATTAGAGTGACGGGAACTAGATCCTGCCATCCGTCATCCTCCACGGAAGCAATGACTTCGGATCCATATCTGATCTCGCTCAGCAGGACTTGAGCAAACCGAGACATGTTGTGACCCATAAGTGCAGCATGAGTTTCCGAGGCAAATGACGATTCGACGACGCGACGGTTCGTAGCAGACTTCCAATCGACAAGATTGTAGTGTGCTCGATCTTCTCGGTCAGTTGCTCCCTTCCTGACGAAACCGACGCACACTCCTTTCTGGGAATAGATGAGCTTGCGTTCATTCCCGGCCTGAAGGATGTCCTCAACTTCTCTATCTTCTATCTCAACCCCCAAGCTACTGTAGAGTCCAGCGTCATGGAAAGTGACCAATTCCGCGTCGGCTCCCAAAGGACGGAAAAGAATCTCGAAACGATGTTTCAAAGCTTCTTTGACAGCCCTATTCGCGCGATGCAGATCTCGAACTCTCAGATCAGAAACCCTCTTCTGAAGTTGGTTGCACTCGAAAGCTAAGTCTGGCCTACTCTGAGTCGCTAACCACTGCAAGCTTCCGACCACTGATCTATAATCAGTCAGCTCTGTCTGATTGGCACGGAGATCATGATCGGAAGATCTGGTACGATCGATAGCCATTGGCTGAAGTCTGCCGTCCAGGAAAGCGTTCTGAGACAAGGTAACACACTGCTCGCCGTCTCGCTGACAAACCTTTATCTCCTTTCCGCAATACGACACTCCGGATTGCTCCTTAGCAACTTCGAGCCAAGTTCCAAAAGGAAATCGATCGTGAAGTTTCTGAGCCGTCTGCTGTCCCAAAACACTCCCATCATGACAAATCATGACATCATCCACATGAACAACCATGAGGGCCTTCAGTGTCCCCGCTGAGTCACGAAGACAGAACAACGCAGGATCCACCTGTGACTTAGTGAACCCTAACTCGGCCTCGAGGATTCGGGACAACTCGTTGTACCAAGCACGCGGGGCGTCTGGTCTGCCGTAAACCGGTTTCAGCAGCTTCAATATCTGGCCTGGTTGCAATCCCTTGAGCCCTTGCTTAGGTTGCCTCATAAACATTTCCGGTTTCCCTTGCAGCGGAGCCCCTTGCAAGAAAGCATTCGAAATGTCACCGATGAACCAGTTCTGAGTCCAACCATAGCTCGTGACCAAGTGAAGGAATATCATAGTAGACACCCGTTCAATGGTAGGAGAATCAACCTGAACTTGACCCGATTTGCTGTCAGGACACAAGTGGCCTTGCAAACAAAGTCTCGCCTTAGCCTTCACCGGCAGGGGATCGCCATTGGCGTCCTTGAGACCAGCATTTTTGTTCCTGAACACATATCTGCTGGGCAACACCCTGTCGGGACGTTCCTGCTCGATCTGTCTACTCTCCTCAAGAGAAAGAACTTCACAGCTGTTGTAGTCAACCCACGACTGCCACTCCTTCTCTTCAGCAGCCCTGTAAAGTTCCTTTTCCGAGGACGGAATCATATCAAAAGGAATCTCCTTCTCCATCATCCTTTTCAACTTAGTCTTACTCTGAGTCTGATTGCCACTGTGCAACACCGCGTTCACAGGATGAGGATCTGGTTGAGCCTTTCTTCTTTTGACAGAAACTGGAACATCATCGAGACACGCATCTTTCCGTGTACGACTCTGGAAGATGGTTATCAATATGCTAGCGGGGCCCTCTGGAATAAACTGATGATGATCTTCGAGTTCCATCCACTTGACCTCGGACTCCAGACACTTCCATTCGCCTCCGACAAAACCCCACGAAGTCCTCCAAGGAAACCGTTGGGCCGGGTATCGGGACTCTGGACTCCGGTATGCCCAAGCTTTGTGACTCACAAGAACAGGGTTACTCTGTGAATCAACATGCCATCCGATGCTGCCCCTAAGCTTGGCATACTCTTCCGGAAGATCTGCATTGACAAGTGGATCCACATCCATGTCCTCAACAACATCTTGCACGAGTGGTTCCTGCTCTACGGCAGCAGGTTCCTCGATGGGGTCCGCCTGTCCAATCAGATCCTCATACGTGGCTTCACTGGGAATCTTCTTGAACAATGCTAAGGCCTTCTGCAACTCAGGGTCCCCATAATGCTTTTCATCACCTATGGCCTCGCGCAGATGTTCTCCCGCCACCAGAAAACACCTACCACCGCATGCCACCCAGGCATTTCGGTCCTGAATTCCAACCACATACCCAGGACCAACCCACTTGCTCTGGCTATCCCGCTTCTTGTGATTCTCAGCCCTCCAGAAGAACACCAACTGTCCTACCTTCGGAATCGGCAGCCTTCGGGTGCGATTGTGAGCGGTCCTGAGAATCATCTGTCGCGCCTGACTCTTTATGAACTCCATCTTAGCGTGGTAACGAAACCGCATGCGGGAAGCCACGTCACTGTCAGGATCACCCACCGAAGGATGGTACGAAGCAGGATTCCCTCCTTGATGCAGTTCACCGTACACCCTAGGTTCACGACCGAAAACCAAACTCACAGGAGACCATCCATGCTCTCGAACCAGGGAGTTCTTAGCCCAAGCAACTTCCCGGGCCAACTTCCGCATTTCTTCCTTACCCTTGGGTTGGGTATGCCTAATGGTCCTATGCAGCATGTCCTTGATGGTTTGATTGTGCCGTTCAATCTTTCCCTGTTGCCAATGGGCTGTCCCTCCAATGGCACTGAGGCTGGTCCCGGCCTTCCCTACTTCATGCCAGAATTCGTGACCTTGAAAACCGCCTTCCATGTCAACTGAAGCACGAAGTGGAGGCCCGGCCCATTTGCACCAGCCTCTGTCAAAGGCCCGATGCAGTTCGACTGGACTGTGATCACGCATGAGCTCAATCAAATGATATGATGTCGCTCGATCAAGGATAGACAAGAACCAATGCTGTACCTTGCTGGCATCGTGAACACATATGCAATCCAGTTGGACTTCGTCGCCGAACGTGATCTGCGAAGGAGGAATACTACAAGTCCTATGAGTGCTCGGTCTCTTGGAATGAGCGCAAGTAACACAACGCATCCAACTCACCGCCTCAACAACATGCTGTTTAGCTCCCCCTAACTTGAGAAATCTTTGCAGGTCCGCCGGACTCGGATGTCCTAAATTACAACGCGCGCGAATCAATCCTTGTTTCACTGAATCTTCAAGATGACGCCCAGATGGCACCTCGAAAATGATGCCATCGCTCGACAATCCACTGCGAACTGATTCTCTCGGTGGACCTGGCCGCTCCACGGCCGCATCACCTGGATGTCCCAAAGATCTGGGATTAGGCTCCTCCGAGGCGTGTGGCATGTCTACATCTTCTCCCTCTGATTCACTCCCCTCCATTCCCTCTTGTGCATAGACGGCACTCCACTGCTTCAGAGAACGGAGGATGGCCTTTTCACTCCAGCGAAGATCCTGAACGCTCCGATCACCAGCATGTATGCGACTTCGGATCCGCGCAGCCAAGCTTCTCAACATTCTTCGAAGTCGACCCGGATCGGTTTCTTTC